GCGTGGGCCGGCTCCGTGCTGGCTGGCCAGCAGGCAGGCCCAAACCAGGCTCCTTGCACCCGCTGCCCCCCCAAACCCCACTAGCCAAGCCCTGTGGGCACCCCCAACCCCCAACCCTGGCCCCAGTGGCCAGTGAATCAGGGCCCCTGCCCGCTCTGTTTACATTGGAGCTGGGGAAATTCTCCAAGGTTCATATTTATCCGTGTGCTTAGAGAAGGCACTGAACTTTGGACTTCACCCTGCAAACTGCAGGCCTCATGGCAGCGCCGAGGGACAGGGAGCTGCGGCCTTCACTGGGAGTAGGCAGAGCAGAGAGTGGGGGAGGCGGCAGTGGGGGGCCTAGGGCAGCTGGGATGGACGGTGCTGGAACAGGGAGGTCTTCAGGTGACCAGCATGGGTTCCCACCCCACCAGGACCTCGTCGGGGGTCAGGTTGAGGCAGGAGAGCAAAAACAGCGGGTTTCCCTTGGGAACAGAAGCAGCAGGGAGTTTTAGGCCATTGGGCCATCTCTCCTCAAGGGCAGGGCTGGGTCACATCCATTTGGGGAGCTGCCTTCCTTCCAGCCCCAACATCAGGCCTGCTGGGAGGAACACTGTGTCGACTTAAGTCTGCTGTGGGCTGGGTCTGTAATGTGCATCATTACCTCGGAGTAGCCCCTAACCACTGTGAGTAGGTACAGGAATTATGCCCATTTTACAGAGGAGGAAACTGAGGTTCTGAGAGGGTAAGCAACTTCCCCAAAGTCACACAGCTAGAAGACTTGTGGGATGGGAATAGGGTGAGAGCAGTCAGGCATTTGGCTCAGAATTTTAAGGGGCACCAAAAAACTCAGTAAATCAAGAGAAAACAATATTTGTATGCAATATATTAAAAATTCAGAATTAATGCTAAGCCCAAAAGAATTTAAGATACTACCACATAAAAACTTGCATATGAATGTTCACAGCATTATTCACAATAGCCAAAAAGTGGAAAGACATAAATATCCATCAACGGATGAATGGGTAGATAAAATGTGGTCCATCCATGCAATGGCATGGTATTTGGCCATAAAAAGGAATGAAGTCCTGATTCATAAGGGTGAATCTTGAAGACATTATGCTAAGAAGCCAGACACAAAAGGCAATCTATTGTATTATTCCATTTATAGGAAAAGTTCAGAATAGGCAAATCCATATGGACAGAAAGTAGATTGGTGGTTGCCAGGGGCTAAGGGGACAGGTGCAGGGAGGGGCAGGGGGAGGGGGAGGGAATGGCTGCTTAAAGGCTACGGAGTTTCTTTGAGGGTGATGGAAATGTTCTAATGTTGATCCAGTGATGTTATACCATTCTGTGAATATACTAAAAATCACTGAATGGTGCATTTTTAAAGGGTAAATTTTATATAGGAATCAATAAAATATATTTTTAAATCAATGCAAAAAATCTGTGATGAACCACAAATATCAAAATGTTAAGTAAAGGCAGATTCCAACCCTCACTCACCCCCACCCACCTCTTCCCTCTTCCAGTCAGAGCCTGGACAAAAATTCCTGCAGTCTGTCCCCTGCGGTGGCCCTAAGCTCCCAGAACAAGGGGTGCACACTGTTGCCTGGAGTACGCGGAGTGGGTGCTGCGGGGCTGCCCCCCAGGCTGGGGCATCTCTCAGGGGTCTGCAGAACCAGGGTCATATGTTTGGCAACAGAAGTAGGGAGAAGGTACCATTGGCCAGAAGGCCCTCCCTACAGGCCAGGCCAGGCCAGCGGAGAGGAAGCGGGGCTGAGGAAGGATGATAGCTGATCTATCAGCTCCAATCCCCCTTCTCTGTCGTCTCCCAGACCTAGTGCTCCAATCCCCCTTCCTCTGATTTCTGGCTTCATTTTTGCATGCACCTAATGTGCTGGCAAATGAGCTGCCCATGCGCCACTAAGCATTTGAAATGTGGCTGATGCCTCTGGCTGAAATGATAATATTTTGGATATATTGGGTAAAATTTTTCAATTTGAAAACTAAATTTAATGGGGGGAGGGTAATAGCTCCATGGTAGAGTCCAATTAAAAAAAAAACACAAAAACAAAATATATATAAACATAACTAAATTTTTTAAATTTTAATTAAAAATTATTTTTACTTGTGTCTTTTTGCTTTTTGTTTGTTTTATGAGAGAGAGGTAATTAGGTTTATTTTATACTTGGAAGAGGTACTGGGGATTGAACCCAGGACCTTATGCATGCTAAGCATGCACTCTATCACTTGAGCTATACCCTCCCCTGTTTTTTCTTACTTTTATAATGGTACCACCAGAAACCTTTATTTTTTGGTGTATATTCTTTTTCGATTGTTTGCTTTTGTTTTTGTTTTTTATTGAAGTATAGTTGATTTACACTGCTGTGTTAGTTTCAGATATACAGCAAAATGATTTCAGTTATACATATATTCATGTATTCTTTTTCAGATTCTTTTCCATAATAGGTTATTACAAGGTATCGAATATAGTTCCCTGTGCTATACAGTCGGTCTTGTTTTTTATCTAGTTTATATATAGTAGTGTGTATCTGTTAATCCCAAACTCCTAATTTATCCCTCCTCCTCCGCTTTCCCCTTTGGTAACCAGTAAATTTATTTTCTATGTCTGTGAGTCCATTTCTGGTTTGTAAATAGGTTTATTTGTATCATTTTTTAAGATTCCATGTATAAGTGATATCATATGATGTTTGTCTTCCTCTGTCTGCCTTACTTTGTTTAGTATGGGAAGCTTTTAAATTACATTTGTGGCTCACATCTTTCTGTTGGACAACACTGCTCTGTAATTTACTTAGATATTATGTTTGTTATTTATGGTCTGTCTCCTTCTGCTAGAATGTAGGGCAGGGCTTTTGTCTGTCTTGTTCACTGCTATATTCCCAGTGCCTAAAGTATTGCCTCATCCATACATAGTAGGTGCTCAGTAAATATTTGTGGAGTGAATAGCTAAATTCCACTGCACACCGAACACGTATATTTAGCTCTGCACTAAGCTTTAGTAATATATGCAATTCGCAGACCCACCCTATGAAGTAGATACTGTTGTTACTCCCATTCTGCAGAGGAGAAAACAAGCTCACAGGGGTTGCTCAGAGTCCCCCCAGAGCCAGGCAGTCAGACTGCACATGATGATGCTAGCAGTGGCCCCTTGGGAAAGTGGGACCCCCTGCGTTTTTCCATTGCTTCCATTTTCCTCCAGTGCAGGTAGCTTTGGAGTCAGGCAGCTCACTGCTGGGGGCAGAATTTTCAAGTCCAGGCAAAAGGCCAGGGAGGATGCTGTGTGCTGTCCCTTCGTGGTTTCATGGCTCTCCTGCTTGCTGCCTGCAGCTGCCCCTTGGTAAATTTCTCCTAGAAGGGGAACCAGAGGGAGCCAGTAGGGTGAGGCCTGGATCCTCTGCACAACTTTTGAACTCATTAACTACTGGGTCCTCTGGCAGCCAGCTGGCTGAGCCGGTGACTCTGGGACTGAAGGTGGATTCAGTTGGGAGGGGGACCAACAGCGGGCTGTGGGGAGACCCTCCAGGGAGTCCAAGGAGAGAAGATCCCCCAGAACCCAACTTCAGCTCCCAGTACACAGAGAGGCTATTGTCCTGGGCCCCCTGAGTCAGATATTGATGCTTGGCAAATAGAAAGGGTGGTTCCAGCCCCACCCTGCCCTTCCCCACATCAGGGGACAAATCTCAAGGGACTCCAGAGGTTGGGAGAGGCATTTTGCCTTCTTGAGAATAGCACAGGACCTAGTGTGCATTCCATAGACCCCTCCAACACCCTAACCCCTCACTGGGTGGCCTCAGTCAACAAGTTCCTCTTTCTCGACTCATTTATAAAGCAGAAGTATACCTCTCCTAGGGTGGCTTAAGATAACATTTTGTAAAGAGCCTAATGCAGAGAGATTCCAAACTTCCTTGGTTCTAGGCACCCTTGGTGTCTCAGTAATTTTTTTTTTTTTTTGGCATCTCTTCCTACCCGCCTTCCAGCCCTAGCAAAAAAACAAACAAACAAAGAAACAAAACTAACAGTTTTGTTTCCTTAGTAAGTAGTTAACTAATAAGTATTTATGTCCTAACAACTTAGTAGCCACTTGAAAATGCATATAACTTAAAAGAAAAAATAACATTTTCACTCCTTCTGAAATAATCATGGTTATGTACTCCGGGGACGCGTGGGTTTGTTGGGCTCTACACAGCAGCTCAAACCGTGGAATTAAATTATACATGACCACCTTCATTTCTGGCTCCACAATAACTTTTGCATTTTAAAATTTTTACTTTTTAATCAGAACAACTACCATAAACTCAGCTTCACAAAGTTACTCGACATTCAAACCGTGAACTGCCTTGGGTTGGTAGTTTGCGAGGTGTCCGACAGATGTCGCTGTGTTCCTTTCAAAAATCCTCTTAAAATATTCTGCGGTGCCCAGGGGCACCTCGGTACATAGTTTGGGAACTGCAGACCCCAGAGGGATGATCTTGGACACAGATGGTGTTTGGGAAACCATAGCTGTGAGCTTTATCGCCATTCTCTCCTACTGAGCAATCAGATATTTGCAAAGCCAAAGTTCAGGCATGTTGTAAAACTTCTCCTTGGCCTGAGGAAGAAGCACGAGAGGGATGCCCTGTCAGCCAATCTCAGGGCTCTCTTGGAATGTAATTAACCCCACCACCCCCACCTCAGGGTCCCCCTGTATTCATCCTCAGACTATTCTTCAAGCCCCGCTACCATTTAACCTTTATCAAACAGTCATTGGTACATGCAATTTTCATGCAATTTCTCATTTACCATCTCGACAGCCTCATGAAGTAACTGCTACTCAAGCCAGACTGCCTGGGTTTGAGCCTGGCTCTGCCACTTACCAGCTGTGTGACCCTGGGCAAGTTGCTTAACCTCTCTGTGCCTCAGTTTCCTCTTCTGTAAAATGGGGGTGAAAATACTGTCTGTCCTGTAAGTTGTTAGGATTAATGAGGCAATACACATAAAGCACTGTGCCTCGCACATTGTAAGTGCTCCTACGACTGAATGATTATTGTTACCTGATCATTAACCTGGCTGCCCTACTCCCACTGGTCAGGCTGAGTTCTCTTCTTTTGCAAAAATTCTCCATGTAAGAGTCCCTGCCACCCATTTTATGTGACTCCTAAGCCCTGATTCTGGCATTCAAGGCTATCAATACCTCAACTCCACTCTCTCACCAGTCACACTACTCGCCATCTCCAGGGCATCCCTGAAACTCTCTCTCATCTGTGACTTTTGCACCAGCTGTTTTCTCTGCCTGGAGACCCCCACCTCTTAACCTGTCCTCAAGATCCTCCAGGGTCTTCTGCCCACAGCGATGTGAGCCTTCACTAGCCAGCCTTCCCTAACTCACTGGAGCAGGACAGCAGCGACAGAAAGCCCTGGGCTGAGGATGAGAGATGCGGCTTCCGGACCCCACGCTCAAAGGGTTTGACTTAGTAGGTCTGGAGTGAAGCCCACAATGTGCAAGTGTCTTGCATCAAAGGGCAGAGAATTGAATGGTGTTCTCTGCAAATCAACCATACATGTGGTGGTACGTGTGTATCTGAGGAAGATGTGGAAGAACATACGCCAAACTGTCAACATCGGTTATCTTTGGCAGAGAGGTGTGCACAAACAAAACCAAAAACAATAGTAGGGAAGAGAAAAAGAGATCAAGAAAAGAAGCCTCAAAGAAAGAAAGAAAGAAAGAAAGAAAAAAGGAAGAAGTAAAGAAAGAGAAAAAAGGAAGAAAGGAAGGAAGGAAGAAGGAAAGAAGTTGTAACTATGTGAGGTGATGGTTATTAATTAAACTTCGTGTGGTAATATTTTGCAATATATACAGACATATATCGAATCATCATGTATACCTTAAACTAATACAATGTTATATGTCAACTAAACAATAAAGTTGGGACAAATTAGATTGTGATGATGGTTGCACAACTGGTAATACACTAAAACCACTGAACTGTCATTTTAAAGGGGTGAGTTTTGTGGTATATGAGTTACAGCTCAATAAAGCACTTAATAAAAAAAAGAAAGAAAAGGTGCCTCAATAAAATACTGCATGTATAATGAAATGATGGGGTGTGTATATGTGTGTCGGTAGAAACCAGAGAGCCACGTCTTGTAGTTATTGCTAGGTGGTGGGATTTCAAGTGTTTTTGGGTTTTTTTCACTTTGTTTATCTTTTTCTGTATTATTTGAATAATTTAATATGAATGTTTATGTTCATAGATATAGAAAAACAAAGTTATTTTTATTTGAGTGGTACCTCCTCCCCACCTCTCAAAATGAGCCAGACTCCCCAGGATATGGTGAGGCCCACAGTTCTGTTCCCCATCTCGGGTGTTTGTCCCTGGACCCCTACCTGGCTGTGGGCCACAGATGGCAAGAACCGTGGTATGTCTATTCCTGGGCGCCCAGGGCTCATCAGTGCAGCACCTGTACTCACGGAGCTCCGGACACGGCGCATGCCCAGGAAATACTTTGCCAGATGGAGACCCTTCCACTCTTTCTGAACAGGATTCTCATGATTCCCCGAAGTTGTCAATCTAATTAGACTGTAAACTCCATGAGATCAGAGAGAACCTTGACCTTCCTTTTACTCCCCTTGGCCCTGCCTAGCTCTGATCTAGGTGCGTGGTGACATTGAAGGTTAGAAAAAAGCCTCAACGCAGGAAAAACACCTGCAGGAGGAAGGGACCAGACCAAGACCGAGAGGGCCTCCATCTGTTTTAATGTCATCCTCTTCATTGACAGCAGAGGCCGCTCTAATTCCATGCAGCGAAAACTTCCAAACCTGCGTTACCTTTAAAACACCCAATCACCAGGGCAAAAAAGAAAAACATAAATCCAAGGCCCCGCCCCCACTGTTTCAGACTCAGACTTGCCGGCAGGAATGCCAGAGAATCTCTCCTTTGAACAAACACCTCAGACAAATTTTTTCTGGATCAAGCAAGTTGCAGAAACTGCCTCACACAGCCCTCCAGCTGTTAAGAAGACAATCTGGTTCCAACAAGCAATAGCCCAGGGAGACTTAACTATAATACAAGGAATCAAAGTGAGCAAACCAAATTCTTCAGCCAGGATGTCACACTGCTGCCCGAGGGCTAGATGATGGCACTGCCCAGAGAGCAAACTATTACAAGCTTTGCTGTGTACTAGTTGTGCGACTCTGAGCAAGTCCCATGATCACTTTAAACCTGTTTCCTCATCTGTAAAGCAGGTATAATGTGTGCCTAACAGGTTTGTTGTGAGAATTCAATACAGCAAGTAGGCATTTGGTTAAATGTCAGCTTTCATCCTAGTAAAAATAGCTAGTTTTTGATCACCTACTACCTTGCCAAGCCCTGCATAAGTGCTTTACATTTATTTTCTCCTTTAACCCTGGCAGCATGGCATGAAGTGGGTTCTGTCATCCTCCCGTTTCACAGATGAGGAAACTGAGGCACAGAGAGGTTAAGCACCTTGCCCATCGTCTCCCAGATAGGAAGTGGCAGATCTGGAATTTGAACCCGGGGAACCTGGCTCCAAGCCCCAGGATGAACTAGCCCCATGGGAACAAAACTACAGTCTTTCAGGAATCATGAAAATTGCCCTTTGGCATCTTTGGGGAAAAGTAGACCACCCAGCTGAGCCAGCTCAAGAATTAGCCGAGGGGCCAAATGCAGGTGCAGGCTGTCAGCCGGCATTCTTAGTCCTGTGAATTTTCTCTGATTGGCACCCGAATTCGTGAGACCGGGAAGTGCTGGGTCTTGCTAAAGCGGGTTCTCGTTGACAGACCGCCCACTCACTCACAGACAGGTGTCAATGCATTGCAGCCTCAACACAGGACAAGGGCAATTCCAGAAAGCCATGGTTTCTGGACTCTGCCCGCTGAAAACAAGGGCTTTGTGAGCATATAAAGGGACAAGAGGGAAATCAAGCTGAACTGCTGTCCTCGGGACCTGGCGTTGGAGTCACGTCCACTCACGTGCTTGGCTTGGCTCCCAAGTTACTGGTAAACCCAAACAAACAAACTGTGTGGTCATGTTTCTGGATGGAGAGATGCCAAAGAGCCTGGGAACACTGGTTGTTTCTGGGGAGGGGAACCGGGAGACTGGAGGAGAGGTGGGACAAAGGCTTCTCTTTTGTGCGGCTTTATTTTTACTCCCTGAGCGAGCTGGTCAGGGTCCTGGCGGGATACCGCTGGCACTTTCAAATGAGATGATGCGGGCAGGCTTTCCTGAAGGGGCTGTTTACCAAAGTGGGAGCAGAGGTAGGTCAACCCAAGGAATGGAGTATCCGGGGTGGGGCTGGGGCCAGTAATAGCGGGGAGCTGTTGGCAGGCCTGCGCCTCTTTGGGTGAGGGCTGGGAATGGCCACCAGCGCCTTGGAAAGGGCTGCCCTGGGAGGACAGAGCCGGGTGACTCAAAGCCCAGGGGTGGGATGGTCATTAAATACCTCCTCCTCCGCCTCGCTCTGGTCCTGCCCTCCAGTCTTCTGCTGGCCTCTCTGCTTGCCAAACGCAACCACTAGGCAGAGACAGGGAGACACTCCGTGGGGCACAGAGCAGGGTGGAGATGGGCAGAGAGGCACCTCTGCAGAGCAGACCGACCACTGCACAGTAGGCATGGTTACAGTGATACGGTGACATAATGAGAAATACGTATTTGGCCTTCATTCTTGGTTCCTGGCACAGAGCTCCTAAACCGTTGTAAAACTGAGTGATGGGGTGATAGGAGCATCTTTTGTTATACTATTTGATCTTTTTTCTTTCAGGTTTGTTTTTTTAAAGATATAGTTGTTTTCCAGTGTTATATTAGTTTTCAGGTGTACAGCAAAGTGATCCAGTTTTATGTATATATATATATATTCTTTTTCAGATTTTTTTCCCTTATAGGTTAGCACAAAATATTGAATAAAGTTCCCTGTGCTCTACAGTAGGTCCTTGTTGTTTATATATTATATATATACACTAATACGTATCTGTTAATCCTAAACTCTTATCCCTCCCCCCACCACTTTCCCCTTTGGTAACCGTAAGTTTGTTTTCTACATCTGTGAGTCTATTTCTGGCTTATAAATAAGTTCATTTCTATCATTTATTTTTAGATTCCACATATAAGTGATATGATATTTGTCTTTCTCTGTTTGACTTCACTTAGTATGATAATCTCTAGGTCCATCCATGTTGCTGCAAATGGCATTATTTCATTCTTTATTTTTTTAAAAATGTTTGGGGTTTTTTTGGAGTGATTAAGTTTATTTATTTATTTATTTATTTATTTAAATGGAGGTGCTGGGGATTGAACCGCAGTTCCTCCTGCATGCTAAGCATTGGGCTGTACTCTCCCCTCTCGTTCTTTTTTTTATAGCTGAGTAACTTTTGCTTGACTGAATACCACATCTTTTTTATTTGTTCATACTATTTGATCTTAGTCCGCATTCCTGACATAGAGCTTCTAAGACCTTTGGAATCTCCAGAGTGATGAGTGTCTTTCTGTTATGTTAAGGAGATGATTGATTGACTAGGGGCTCCTGGGGAGTTATCTTCAGAACCAGAAAGACCAAGGCAAAGTTAGAGGGTTAGAATTTTCAGCTTCAAGTGGCAAGAATGTATATTAGGTATGTAACTAGCTACAACTAGCCCCCACCCCGACCTCTGGGGAGGGGAAAGGGGCTGGAGATTGCATTAGTCATCGATAGCTGGTGATTTAATCGCTGATGCCTAGATAATGAAATCTCCATGAAAACCACAGATGAAAGGGTTGGCATTGTTCGTGCTTGGGAAGATATTCACAAGCCTGGAGGGGGTGCACCCCAAATCCACAGAAGCTCCTACGCTTGGGATGCTTCTGGAACCTGCCTAAGTACCTCTCCCTCTGGCTGGTCATTTGTGTCCTTTATCATAAACCGGTAATAGTAAGTAAAGTGTTTCCCTGAGTTCTGTGGGCCGTTGCTGCAGATCATCCAATGTAAGGAAGGGGTCAGGGGAGCCCCTGCTTTGTAGCCAAGTCACACAGAAGCGTGCGTGCCCTGGGAACCCGATACCAGTGACTGGCATCCGAGGTGGGGTCCGTCTTGTGAGACCAAACTCCTAACTTGTGTCTGCGCAAACGCCGGGAGGTTAGTGTCAGAACTGAATTAAAGGCTGACGCTCCTAGAAGCTTCATGCGATACTTCTGCCTATGGTTCATTGAACAACATGCAGTCATGTGACCCCATAGTGATGCGATAGGGGCTGGGAGATGACTATTTTCGACAAGGAGAGCAGGATTCTGTTATTAAGAGAAAGTGGCAAGAATGTGTATTAGGAATGTAACTAGCTACAAAATGTAACAATTTCTTCTCAGTTTCCTGAGCAGTTACTATGTGGTAGATACAGAGCTAAGCACTTAATAAGTGTGGTCTGATAAACAAGATTGCCCTCTTATAGTCAGGAACACACACACACACACACACATAGAAGCCTTTTGGATGTGGTCCCTTCACTGTGAGCCATTGATGTGAGAAGTCTTTGTAATGCGACCCAGCAGGGAGGGAGGAGTAATGTTCCCTTAGCCTAATAAGGTCAGGATTACTGGTGCTCATGAAATTAAATCAAAATCTGTAACCAGGAGGAATATGAGTTTCCCATGTAGAAGAGAAGGGGGGAGGGATGTTTTCAAAAGGAAGTTCATCTTTGTGGTTTGAGACGTGTTTGATTTTAAATATATCGAGAGAAAACCAGCCACTACCTGGCGTGGAAACCCCCCACTGTTCCAGCCAACTCCATCCTCCCCACTCCTGCCCGTAGAGGAGTCAACAAATGATGAGACCAAAGTCCCTCTGTTCCCCTCTGCGAGTCAGCAGAAACTAGGAGAAGAAAGACTTTTCGTCAGTCAGCAGACTCCGGGAACTGTGTACTTAGCAATTTACAAAAAGGGGCTTCGGCCGGGACTTCGACATTTTTTCAGAGAAGGGTAATGTTTCATGAATTGTGAAAAGGTCAGAGACAGAAGTAGGTGGTGCAGAGAGGAAGGGAGCATCACAGGGCTGCCATTTTGCACAACTCCAGGGTCACACCCACCCACAGAGAAGAGAGGGAATACTGGTTCTAAAGGCTTACTGAAAGAGATACCACAGGACCATGCGGGGAGGGGGTTGGAAGGAGTTGGAAGGTTAGAGGCTGAAGCAGAGGGAGATGCCCCAGGACTGGAGACTGGTTTGGGGTTCCTAAGGATCTGGGGAGACTGGATCTGAACTATGAGTAGCCAATCTGAACAAAGACTCCTGTACCAAAACTTGGCACAGAAATAGTGGTATTCCCAGATTCCCAAAATAATACTAATAATAATCCCAAATGTGGGCTGGCTTGATAGCATTAGGACCCCAGGTTCTCTCTATCTGCCCTCTCAGCACAGTATCAGCTTCCCTGAAGGTCAGCTCCCCTCGTGGTCACAAAGTGGCTGCCACCACTCACTGAGGCTTCTTGCTTTCCAGGGGCAGGCAGTGGCAAAGGAGAGGAAGATGCTGATCACACCTATTAGCCCAGACCAAGCTCTTCTTCACACCTCACTGGTCCACCTGCTCAAGCTTAACTCTGAATCAATCACCGGCAAAGCAAGATGGAATTACCATGATCGAGTTAGGCCAGTGGTTTTCTGTGATACCAGCAGTATCACCCTCAGCTGGGAGCTTGTTAGAACTGCAGATTCTTGAGCCTTATCCCACATCCGCCAAATCACAAACTCTAGGGGTGGGACCCAGCAGGCTGAATTTTCACAAGCTCTCCAGGGATTCTGATGCACGCTCAAATTGGAGAACCACTGCCTTAGGTAAAGTTCTTCTTAAACTGCCCTTAACGTCCAGGTGTGAGGGTGACTTTGGAAGAAGGTAGGTGAGGTGGTGCGAAGCTGGGGGAGGGGAAGAATGCCTTCTTCAGTGGGCACTGCAGCTCACACTGTGGACAGCCAGATGACAGGGATGGTGTGGACTCAGGAGTCCCCATCGGCAGTAAGGAGACAGCAAGACTAAAGTCTCTTCCTACAAACCTCTCCTCCCCGACCCCAGGGGGAAAGGATAAACCCAGTGAACAGGGAAAAAAGAAAATCTACATGTGTATCACGTCATTTGACCTCACAGCTATCTTTTAGAAGCTATGTTATTAATTTCTAAATTTAGTGATGAGGAAATTGAGATTCAGGGAAGTCACTGCTACACAGTCACACACAGCCATCCATCTGCGTCCTATCCTCTACGCCACATGAGATGTCCAATCTCTTGTCCATGTGACCAGTGCTATGCCAATGGCAGGGCAGTGGGAGCCGTTGGAAGCAAAAGGGAACACTCTGTGTAGAGAATTTTAAGACATTCATAAAACAGGCTGAAAGTTCGTCCTTGTCAAAGTGCAATAGCAGTTTTCATTATCGGAATGCAAAAGCACTTCTAAACAATGTCAGAGACAAAATACCCTTCCCCCAGTTGGTTTGGGTTCTAAAGAATTGCCACAGTGGTTATTGAGTTTTAAGAATAGACATGACGGTAGAAGAATAACTGTAGAAATAAATAGAGAACAAATTAGTGGTTACCAGTGGGGAGAGAGGAAGGGGAGGGGCGAGAGAGGGGTAGGGGATTGAGAGGTACAAACTACTATATATGAAATAAATAAGCAACAAGGATATATTGTATAGCACAGGGAAATAGAGCCATTATTTTGTAATAACTTTAAATGGAGTATAATCTATAAATTATTGAATCACTATGTCATAACCTGAAACTAACATAATATTGTAAACCAACCATACTTCAATTAAAATAAATAAATAATATAACTAGGTAAATAATGGAAGTTAAAATATAACACAAATAATATAAATTAAAAACAAATACTTTTTAATAACTCCTCTTTTAATCAACATTGTAGTCTACATGGAGGAAGCTAATTCCGAGAATGCCTGCTTATACAACCGGTCCCCGACACAGCTGGTCTCAACTACCTTGGTTTCAAAGGTAAGTTTATAATAATATGAAATCATAGGGCACAGTGTATCACTCTAGCCCCTACGGTACTACATATTCCACATTTAAACAGTTGATTTTAAAAAAAAATACAGTGATTGTAAAGATGAAGAAATAGAACTTAGCCTACTTCAATTCTGTCATTCTGTGTGGCCACTTGGGGATTTTCTTTGGAGTTAAAATTTAAAACTGTGAAACAGCACGTAAGCGACAAGGTGTAATCCTTTTGTGTGGTCAGTACTAACTGTAGTTCATGCATGAAATATTTTATGAAATATTTTACTGAATTTCAATAATGTCTTTAAAACTGAAACGTATTCCCACTTCCTAATTGTTAACGGTTTTAAAATGAAAGAATGAATCAAGAAAATGATGATGACGATTGTTACATCATTAACACTGAAAATATTTCTATCATCTAGAAGAGGGGAGTTAAAAGAGGTTACATTCTGGGTCAAGTGCACTCCTTCAAATGTCTGAAGACTGTTTCACGCCACTACTGAGAATTCTCTTTTCTGGTTAAACGGCCCTAATTTGTCCACTCCTCAGCTGACACATTTCAGACAGTCCAGTTGCACACCCCTGTTAGCTGCTGAATACGATCACGTTGTGGAGATCTTCTAAGATTGTGGCATCCAGAACAGAGGATTCTGCAGAAGAAAAGAGCAAACACAAGTTTTAGAATCAGATGTGCCTGCGTGCAAATCCTGGGTCTGGCTGTGTGACCTCAGACAGGTCATTTTCTCTCTGAGCCTGTTTCCTCATCTCTGCAATTTGGTTAAGGATCTTTACAATCTCTTGGGGTTCACACGAGGATTAGATGAGCTAGTTTATTATTATCTAGGTGTGATTATTCATACTCTCCCTCCCCACCTTCAAAGGGGGGAGGATTCTTGCCAACTCAGTTCCATCATACCTTTCCTTTATCATGCAGACTCCCAGCAAAGGGTTTCATCTTGGGAAAAAAGCGGTTGGGGAGTTCGAGACCTGAGGGTACTGCCTTCTCCAGGGAGACGACTGTAAGGGAAGAAGGAGGGTTCTGAAGAAGACTTATTCTACAAAGGAAATGCACTTACTCCAAAACCACACCTATTAGAAAGGCTAAGATTTAAAAAGACTCAGCAGAACAAGTGCTGGTGAGGATGTGGAGCAACCGGAATGTTCATGCACTGCTGTTCAAAATGTAAAGTGGTGCATCTACTTTGGAAAATAGTTTGCAGGTTCTTAAAAAGTTAAATATGTAACTATCATATGATATAGTTGTTCTACATCTAGATATTCACCCCTGAGATATGAAAACATGTGTCCAGAAGTAAACCTGTACCACAAATTTCTTAGCAGCGTTATTTGTATAGTCCCAAATTGGAAGCAACACAATGACCATCAACCAGTGAGTGTGTGAACAAAGTGTGTTCTATCCATAAGTGGAATATGACTCGGCAACAGAGCAGAATGAGTTATCTATACACAGAGTGCATGGATGATTCTCAAAATAGTTATGCTGCGTGAAAGAAGGCAGGCAAAAATGAGAACATACTGTATATTTCACTGAGATGAAAGTCTAGAAAACGCAAATTAATCTAGAGTGATAGAAGGCAGACTAGCGGTTATCGGGTGTGAAGGCGGGGTAGGCAGGGAGGAAAGGATTACAAAGCGCAGGAGGAAAGTTTTGTGAGTTACAGAAATATTCATTATCTTGATTGTGATGATGGTTTCACGGGTGTATACTTATACCAAAACTCATCAAATTACACACTTTAAATATTGTACGTCAATTATACCACCACAATGCTTTTGTTAAGAATATACTCACCCCTTTGCATTTTTTGAGAGATTGGGAAAAGATTTTCATTCCTTTCAATTACATTTTTTTCTGACAAATCAGTCGCCATGCAGAGACAAGCCCACCAGAAGCCCTGAGTGTATTTGGCTCACTTACATTATGCGTGCAGCTAGGTGCCTGGCCCCATAAATAGCCTAGATTGGGGTTACTAATGCAGTGTTTCAGGTATTGTCTGACTGGCACGGGACTCTATTTAGACCAGAAGTTGCAAACTCAGAGGCTTTTAGGGCCCAGGCAGGTGAAATAAAGCAAGCAAAGTGGGCTGAATTGGGCAAGTCCTTGGAGCTGGGGGGGTGGGTGGTGCAGAGTTTACTTCATTGTCCCAACTACTTACCTCATGTCAAGTAGGTCCATGCAACTCAGTGATTCAATAGTAACAGTTGACATTTTATAAAGTGCTTTTATTTGGTCCCCCTGACAATGCTGTCTGCTTCATAGGATTATCTCTATTTTCTAGATGAGGAAACTGAGGTTCAGAGAAGTCATCAAGACTCCCGCCCAGGCCCAGTGAAAGTAAGACCCCGCCTTGCTCCTCCTTGAGTCTTTTCGCCATCCGGCTACACCTGTGCTCGTATTCACTTTGTTTCCTCCCATGGAGAAAACTCAACTACCTCTTTCTTCCCACGATGGTCGCTTCAGGGGCCACGGATGTTTTGGAAGGAGAAAGAGCTCAAGAAGCCCTCTTGTGGACGTTCCAGGAAAGCAAAGAGTTGGAGACACACACTGCCTGTAATGACTCCAGTGTTTTGTTTTTCTAAGTTCCCTTTTTAAGGATTTCACCTGTGCCTAAATATCCTGGGGTATGATGGAGGTAGGTTCACTTTAAGAGAACTATGATGTATATAGTCAATCATTATGTAATATCTTTCTATGGTGACTGATGGTAAGCCAACTCATGGTGATCATTTTGAAATGTATAGGATTATCAAATCACTATGTTGCAGAATAGGAACTAACATAGTGTTGTAGGTCAATTATACTCCAAAAACAAACAGACGTATAAAAAAGAGATCATATTTGTGGTTATCAGAGGTGGGGGTAGCGGGAGGAAGAACTAGATGAAGGCATTTGAAAGGTACAAACTTCAGTCATACTAGGGGTATAATGTACAACATGTAAATATATTTAACACTGCTGTACGTTACATATGAAAGTTAAGAGGATAAATCCTAAGAGTTCTCATGACAAGGAAAAATATTTTTTTCTGTTTAATTTTATATTTGTATGAGTCGATGGGTATTCACTAAACTTATTGTGGTCATCCTTTCATGATATATGTAAGTCAAGTCATTATGCTGTACGTCTTAAATTTATGTAGTGCTGTGTGTCAATTTTATCTCAGTAAAAATGGAAGGAAAAAAATAAGGGTACTAATTCCATACATGAGGGCTCTGCTCTCATGACCCAATCACGTCCCAAAGGCCACCATCATTTGAGGTGTTAGGATTCCAACATGTGAATCTGGGGGAGACACACACATTCAGATCATAGTACCTTCCACCACACCAAAGGATAGGGTTCCCCTCCAAAAAGAAAGTTATTATGTAAGAACTTAAACCTGCAAAATAACGTTTATTCAGTCCACAAGTTCTTACATCAGGTGTGTGACAATCTTAACAGTTGGTAGGGCCAACTACATATCCGGTTCAGTTTTAAGTGCTTTGCAGGTATTAACAATTAGTCCTGAATAAACAATTATTTATCTGGGTTCAGTTAGGTCTTAGTCCATTCAAGCTTCCATAAATATGCCATTCACTGAATGACTTAAACAGCAGAAATTTTATTTCTCACAGTTCTGGAGGCTGGGAGTCCAAGATCAAGGTGCCAGCAAGGTGGGTGTCATTCTGAGGTCTCTTTTCTCTGCTTGGAGGTGGCTGCCTTCTTACTGTGTGTTCACATGACCTCTTCATGCTCTGGGAATGTCAGCTGTCTGGTGTCTTTCCTTTGAAGGACACTAATCCTATTGGATCAGAGCCCTACCCTTATGACCTCATTTTAACCTTAATTATTTCATAAAGTTCCTATCTCTAAATGCCATCTATTGTGGGTTAGGGCTTCAACAAGTGAATTGGGGGCTGGAGTGGGGCACAATCATTTGGTCCATAGCAGTTACCATCCTCATTTTACAGCTGAGAAAAATAAATCCACCCTCCTGAGCTTACAGTCTGGTAGGAGAGACTGATATTCAATTACAAATTACTATCATCACCAGGGAAGTGGTACCCAGCCTGGTTTCAGGAGTCAGAGAAAGGGACTTTCCTGAGGAAGTGCTGGGTGAGCAAAGAGGGGTGTGGAGTGGAAGGTGGCATGGAAAACCCAGAGGCATACAGGAGCAAGGCACATCCTAGAAACCAAAGAAATGCGGACATCGTGCAGAAAGTCAGTGGAGGGCCCAGTGGAGGAAAATGGCTGAATTTGAGGTATGTATTGAAAATGGGCAACCTGGGACAGAGGGGAGCAGGGGATGTCCCTGGATGTGTCCCTGCTTCCCTCAATCTATTACTGGGGGAAAAGCGGAAGCAGCAGCAACGGTGGGGCCCCAGACTGAGCTGCTTAGGGAGTGGAAAGACTGTGCGGCACTGGGACTCAGACAGCCTTAGATTTTGAAGCCTCCTCTCAACAGCTTATTGGCTGTGTCTTCTTCTGCAAATAGTTTGCCCTCTCTGGGCGGACTGCAGGGCATGAGGCTCTGAGCTGCCTTCTCAGCATTTCTCAGGACTTTGTAATCTGAGCACATCATGACAAGCCCCAGGCTGCGCTGACAATTACAGGAGTCCACACGCCACCACCTTCTCCGCGTGGCTTCAGAGTCCCAGGTGAAAACCTGACCCCACCCTGCCAAGCCCAGCTCATAAACAACAGAGCCCTGCGTTAGGAGAGCAATTCCCCCTCTAGAACCTCAGCTTGGTTCCACGACTTCTTCAGCCCAGCCTTGCCCTGATCCACCTCCAGGATTACTCCAGGCTCTCGTGTTTGCTAAGCTCAAATCCTGCTTCTCCCACATCCTGGCTATGAGCTTGGGCAGGTGACACGCTCTCTGAACTTCAGTTTCATCACCTGCATAATGAGGATTTGTGTGGATCCGATGAGATCTTATGAAACATAAAGTGTTCAACCCATGACCTGGTACACAGCGACCCCCAGTAATGGTTTTCATTTCATAAAGACATTTTGTTATATAATGTCTGCTACATGCCATATAGCATATTCATTTCAAAAACATTTATGAAGGACCTGCTGGGTACCAGACCTGGTTGTAGATGCTGGGAATACAGCAGGGACTTAGATCTAATTGCTGCTTTCGTAGAGCTTACCTTGTAGAGGGTGGGACAGATGATAAACAAACAAAAGCTGACACTTTCCATCTCTCACATGGTAATAAGTGTTCCAGGAAAATGTAAAATAGGAAAGAAGTTAAGGAGCACAGAGTGGGTAATGGGGGTATAATTTTATCGAGCGTGACCTTAAAAGCTTCATTGAGGAGGTGACTTTTGAGCAAAACCCTGAAATATGCTATAAAACTTAATCACAAAATGAACACCATCCACGAACAGACCTGCTAATTTATGAGCTAGAACATTATCTGTTCTGAATCTATGATATATTTTTTTTGCATTGCTTTTCCCACGCAGAACAGAGCATTGCTTTTTTTTTAAGAGAGCATTGCTTTTCAAACTTTAATGTGCACTAAGATCACCTAGGGGTTTGGTTAAAACACAGGCCAGGCTTGAGGCTCTATATTTCCAACAACAAAGCTGTGGCTTTTACGATATTTTCACTCCCCTGTTATGGCCTCCCCTAGCTTTACCCATCTTAAGATGTTCCTCCATCTTTCTCCCTCCTCCTCCACCAAGAGAACTTCCTGTCTGCCACACCTCACATTTGTTTCCTTTCTCATAAGTTCTGAAGGGCTTTAAAACAGCTTAGAAAACCTGAGTCAGGAGGTGGGTTCACAAAGAATCTTGACCACAAGCTCTCTCGGTGACCTTGAGCAAGTTGGCAGCCTGCTCTGTGCCTCAGCTTCTCCATTCTGAAAACGAGACAAGAGGCTCTTCAAGACCTCTTCTAGCTTAGACCAGGGGTTGGACTCTGTGTGTGTGTCTTTCCAGCATCTGAACCTCATTCCTGTTTCTGAATGTTTGGAAAATCCACCTTGTAGATCCAATATCAGATTTTGCATGGAACAAAAATATCAAAAACTTGTTCTCCTCAAGCTCGATCATTTGGACAGGGCCCCTCAAAACACAGACTGAGGGCTACATGGGAGGAGAGGTAGTCTAGATGTCACGTGCCTGCCAGAGTCCAGTGGGGGCAGCATGCTATTTGTGGCACAGCCCTTAGCTGCGGTTCTAGCCATCCAGGTCCCCTGGGTTTCTGCCAATTTTCTGATCCCATCTGTCTTAGAGAATTGTCTCTAAGCTTCCAGATATCCTTCCAACAAATTCCATTCTACCTAAGTTACCTCAAATTGGATTCTGGTATTGGCAACTGATGGGCCCAGACCCTCAGGTGGTCCTGTAACACACCTATGTGTCTTTTCTTAAGTGTGTCTTGCCGCTTGGATGTGTATGTCTTATGTCTCCCTGCCTCCAATCTCCCCTCCCCAGATGGAGGAGGGGTATCTTGAAGGCCCAAACATAGTGCCAAACTCAAAAACAGCTGGTTCATAGACATGGAATCCTTCCAAAGATTGGGGAGTATCCTCTAGTCCAGGGGATCAAACTGTCACCCTGATATAGCCAGCATGTGGATATCCTTTGTTTGCGAATTTCACATAAAAGTTTCAGATTTCTAGATTTTCCTGAAAAATCAGAAGCTCTGGCCACATTGACCCACAGTTCCACGTGGCAACATTTGGTTAGAGTTAAGTAACACCTATCCTCTTTGGCTGGGGTGTGACTTCTCTAGTTACCCACAGTCTCCCCTCACCCCTTCTGTGTTACAATTGGACCACTTCATTTAAATGATCTGTTTGGGTCTAGGAGGCATCTGAGTTTGCACTCCTTGCTTAGCGGAGTAGAATGTTGTAGTTCATGCCTTGTTTTCCCTGAGTATGTCTTTTAAGGCCTCAGCTGGGGATAGGATGTGGCAGGGTGAGATGAAAACAGGCTTTAGAGTCATTTACTAGCTGTATAATCCTGGCAATGTCCCTTAAGCTCTCTAACCCTCAGGTTCTTCAACTCTGAAACAGAAATAATAGTTCACCAGAATATTGTAAAAAAGATAAGTGATAAGCCTAACACAGAGTAGATATAGACTAAAAGTTTATTAAAGAGTTTTTTCATTTTGATTTTATTTTTTAGTGAAGTGTAGTTGGTTTACAATGTAGTTTCAGGCATACAGCAAAGCAATTCAGTTATACATATACATACATATATAAATGTATATACATATTTTCAGATTCTTTTCCATTATAGTTTATTATAAGAAATTGAATATCGTTCCCTGTGCTATACAGTAGGTCCTTGTTGTTTATCTGGTTTATTTTATATATAGTAATGTGTATCTGTTAATCCCAAACTCCTAATTTATCCCTCCCCCCGGCTTCTCCTTTGGTAATCATAGTTTGTTTTCTATGTCCGTGAGTCTGTCTGGTTTGTAAATAAAATCTGTACCTGTTTTTAGATTCCACTTATAAGTGATGTCATATGATATTTATCTTTCTCTTTCTGACTCCTTCACTTAATATGATAATCTCTAGGTCCATCCATGATGCTGCAAATGGCATTATTTTATTTTTATGGCTGAATAATATTCCACTGTGTATATATATATATATATATATATATATATATATATATAGCTTTTTTATACACTCATCTGTTGGTGGGCATTTAGATTCCTTTCGTGTCTTGGCTATTGTAAATATTGCTACTAAGAACATTGGGGTGTATGTATCTTTTTGAGTTAGAGTTTTCTCCAGATATATATGCCCAGGAGTGGGATTGCTGGATCATATGATGAGTCTATTTTTGGTATTTTAAGGAGCCTCCATAGTGGCTGCACCAATTTACATTCCCACCAACAGTGTAGGAGGGTTCCTTTTTCTCCACATCCTCTCCAGCATTTATTATTTGTAAGGAGTTAGAGGACTCCGAGATCTTAAATTTGGAAGGGCCCAGCAGGATGCTTGGCTGGAAGCGGGTGCTTTGAAAATGTGCTTTCTCTTCCCCCAGCTCCTTGATTGTTGGGCAGAGTTCCTGCATAAGGATGCTTTGGCTGAGCCAAGGTTGGGCAATCAGGCCACAGTGCCCTCCAGTGGGGCCCTGTGGGCTAGAAATAGGCCCGCCCCCAAATAGCTATGGGACGTTAGCTGTGAGGGGGCGGGCGTGACTGACGCTGCATGGAGTGTGGCCAGCCACACCCCCTGTTTGCATGGGTCCCATGGGCTTCTTGGGAAAGAACTGATAAACTTTCCAAGTGTGTGAAACTGGGGTTCAAACCAGCCCAACAGGCTTCAAGGGACGGACAGAAGCTAGACGGAGGGAGGAAAGGGATGAAAGGAAAATCACAGGAGGAAGGCAGCAGGCAGAGAGGGCCTGACAGAGGCTGGGCCTAGATTGAAGAGAACATACTGTCTGTCGAGGAACTGTCTGAGGCTGTGCTCCCTTCTTCGTGCTCAGGCTTGTTTCGTAGCCCTCGCTTGCTCTGAGATGGAGAAGGCTGTGTGTCAAGGCTAGAAGGGGCTCAGATGGAGCCCAGACAGCTCTGCTAAAGGAGCCCTCTCTCTGTGGAAACACTGCCAGAGTCAGCAGAAAGCCTCTACGAGAGTCAGGCCCGGGAAGGAAGCTGGCAGGAGGGCAGTGCCTGAGACCCACAGATGGTAAACAACAGCTCTAGCCACACCTGAGGCACCTCCTCCCTGCCGGGGCGTCAGAAAGAGCCACAGCACCTGTCAGAACCCAGAGCCTCGCTGGGATAGTTGGCGAAAGGGACTCATGTCCAAGATGGGGCTTCCCGCTGGCAGGATGGGGGCTGGTGAGGGGCGTGGAGCACAAAGACTGTAGGTGTGGGCGTGGCTGTAACCACGGCCCCGTAATGCGCACGCGCGTCCGCGCTTATTCCGCACCTGCTCTGTGTCAAGCTCAGGCCAGGTGTGCAGTGGGGAGCAATAAGCAAGAGCTTCCAGGCAGCAGGGGAGATAACAAGCAAGGGGTCAGAGGAGCCAAGGGAAACTCGGAAGCGATGCGTGTCCTGAAGGAAACAGGGTGATGTGGCAGTGGCTGAGGTGGGTGGGGCTGAGTGTCCAGGGCACACTTGGTCCTTGGTGTCACCAAGCGATGAGCTCGGGGCAGAGGGCCACAGCTGTTTCCTCCTTGTCCTTGTCTTCTAGGGGCCCCTGCCCCACCGAGCAGC